AAAGAGAAACTGCAACACGTAGCCTAGTATGCAGAGTTTCGGTTCATTTTTGTGCTGTGCGACAAAGCTGCATCCTATTTTTCTTTAGGCTTATTTTACAAAAGCACAAAGATTTGTTTTTATTGTGAATGTACACAAATAAAGGCAAACCTTTTACAATTCCGATTATCTTTAGGACTAAAAGGAGTAGTTGCTTCCACTGTTAGAAGGAAAAAACTCAAGTGATTGCGCCGGCGCTGCATGCGCACACAGAGTTAAGTATTGCTACCTTGACAATGCAGCCTGTTCATTATCATAATAAAATACAGTCAGTCAAACATATGGAAGAAACTATGTAGTAAAAAAAACTTTGTAGTAAAATCTGTTAAGCCGTTAAGGTTAAGTGTTATCACCGCACTGCCGTGATGTTATGCAAAACATTTTGTTTCACGTGGATATTGGCGCGTGAGTGAAGTAGGCTACATAATAAATAATAATTTGCCATTCAAATACATCGCAAATACGGAAACAATTGATTTTGTGTGGAATGAGAGACCCAACGTTAGTTTCAGTTTCGTTTAAACCTAAATTAATTCATTTTGGCTCGTCATTTATATTGCTATAGCTTCTTATATTTTTAATTCTTGTTCTTTTCTAAATACTGTTAATTGAAAGGCTTTGTTGTGGAGTGAGGGGAACTAAAATAGCCTAGCTATGTTTACAGTGTTTATTATAATGTTTGTAAACATTTCGTGTCGGCATTAGGCTAGGCTAGGTCTATTTCTGAATGAAACAATAAAATGAGACTTATACGCGACTTGTTTTTTCCTAATTTTTTATACGCGTAGCACATTTTAACCATGCAGCAAACCTTTTTAAATATTTTGATAAAGTACTGAAAAAATAAATAATGAAATGACTTTTTAAACCGTTTAACTGATTGTATTAATCGGTCAAAATTCTTACGGTCGGTTAACCGGTTAAAATGAACATCCCTAGATTAATCGCTAATTATCATTTGACAGCACTACTTGTTACAGTACAGTTTAAACGTTTAGGTTTAGCAGTGTTTCCCCTGACATTATGAATATTGCGGCTTGCCCCCCCTTGAAGGTCAAGTTAACTTTATTTAATTATATTTTCTTTATAGCGCCAGATCACAACAGAAGTCATTTAAAGTTACCGTTCCTATAGAATATGTCTAAACCTTGTTCTTTTATTAAACAAACTAAATGGCCTTATGTTATTTATCTTATTTACACGACGGCATGTCATTTCAGTCTCTACGTTACATGGTCGTGCTCTCTGCATCACACACAGCGGAGTTCCGCCCCGATGCGCGCACACACAAGTGAGCACACTCCCACTAGTATTTGTGAATATTAAGCCGCAAAACAAGTATTTAAATATGAATTTTGCATGTCTCTGTGTCAATGAATGGCGCAGACGCATGGTTTTGTTTACCACTTGTACTGAAGCGTGCGTGATGCTTCCGGTGATATTAACGTCTGCCGTCTCACTAAATGAGGACATAAATATATGAACAACATCTCCACAATAAGGTTGGAAAAAATAAAAAATTTTTGGGCCCTAAACATGTAGTTTTTGTTAAACTTTTAATAAATTGATGAGCAGAAGAGACTTCTTTCAAAAACTTTACAAAATGTACCAAATCCAGTCTTTTGACAGTAGTGTATTTAATCGTGTAAAATTCGCTCTGATCCCTCAACCAAGCTCAGTGATCGATTATGAGTTGTGTATTTGCAGTCTTTGTCGTATTTCTCCCCCGTGTCCTTCTTCTGAAGGAGAACAGAAATCCCTCGGTGTTGCTCAGCGCACAGGTCATCCCCGTTTCATAGATTAGGTGGAGAGCTGCCTGAAATAGCGGCGCTCTCTCGCTGTGTGGACACCTGTTTTCCTGTGAAGGCAGCTGCCGATCTCGGGATCCTCATGACACAACTGCTTTCATCATACAGTTGTTGCCACAGGCTCTGATCAATCAGCCCTGCTCCTCCACAGGAGAACTCTGTGGGATAAATGCTACAATAAATGCTTTTTTGTTTTCTCTTAAGAGTTCCCCTGAAAATGTGTCATCTTAAAGGGACAGTTGAGTCATTTACTCGTTCCTAACACTAAAGAAGATCTTTTGAAGAAAGTTTCAGATGTTTTTGTTCAGTTTATGATTGTCATTTATTATTAATAATCATATATTTTGGTTTGTTTCCATTGGGTTTCAGATAAATACATTACAAATGCTAAAATGCGATGAAGTACCTTTTCATTTGTAATGTATTTAATTGACTGGATTATCAGATAGGCATTATTAGGTTATGCAGTAAGTCCATATAAAAGCTCCTTAATTTGCACTTTAATTGACTGCGTTTCATTGATTTCCATCACAGAAGTTTTCGTAATTGTTCATGAGCAAAGCCTTCACTCGTAGGATGTTGTTAATATTAAGCCAGTTTTTAATATGATCGAATATTTTGTTGTATCTGTTAAACTTTAGATATGATTTTTAATAATGTGGTTATTTCATTTTAAGCTATTGTGTATTATTCATTAACAATAAATAAAAATAATGCAAACAAGAAGTAAATAAACTAAAAATGGAATGAATAAATAATTAAGATACAATGATAAATAACAATATATTTAGATAAGATTTTTAATGTATTTATTGTTCATTTTTTATTTAATATTATTTATTAATAGTAAATACAAAATAGTACAAAATTAATAAATAAACTAAAAATAAATATGAATAAATAATTAAAATAAGATGATAAATACAAACAAATTATATATTCAGATATAATTTAACAATTTATTTTTTAAATTTTTGTTCATTTCTAATATATTGTTTATTTATTTGTATTAATAATAAATGAAAATAATAAAGTAAATTAAAAATCAATATGAATAAATTAAAATAAGATGAAAAATAAAAACAAATGTATTTAGAAATTTTTAATAATGCATTTATTTTATTTGTTTATTATTTATTTATTTATTACTAATAAATTAAAATAATATGAAATGAATAAATAAACAAAAATTTAGATATGATTTTTAATGTTTTGGTTTTTATTTGTTAATTTTTTTATTTTGTTTATTAATACTAAATAAATAATATCAAATTAATAAGTAAATAATAATTATGATTAATTAAAAAACATTTTCCCAACAAATGCCAGTTTTAGCATATCTGTGCTGTGTTGTGACAAAAAAGAACAATGGTTGTCGCCCTAAATTTGTGTTCCTAAAATATTTTAGCAACAGTTTACAGTATGGTCCCATAAAATAAATGCATTAACTAATATTAACTAAAAATAAGCAGTACGTTTGATAGTTTTTATTAATATTCAAAGTTAATTATCATTAATTAATAAAAATACTAAAGTTGTTAGTTCATGTTTGCTCGGGTTCATTAAATAATATTGACATTATCAACTTACAGTTTTAATAATAATGTATTAGTTAACATTAAGATTGATGCATTTTAGAAGTGTTTTTCATTGTGAATTCATGCCAACTAATAAACTAACGTGTTAACAAATGGAAGCTCATTGTCAGCGGTCTTGTAATTTCTGTCTGTGCGGTTGCAGGAAATGATCAAGCCGATGTTCATGGCTGCCTCTTTACCCGGAGGAGGCACCAGCACCAACAGCACCACCACACAGTCGTCGGCCTCTTCCTCTCCCTCCTCTTCCTCCGTCTCCATGCATGCATCCAGCAGCACCTGCTGGCCGGTGGCCGCCGGGATGAACGCTCAGAGCGTCTCCAGTGCAAACGGGACGGTGCTCAAGAGCTCTCCGGCGGGGGTCATGCAGCTGCCCGCCGGATTCACGCTCATGCCAGGTGGGGCTCCTCGCCATTCATTCATTCATTCGTTCGTTTGTTGCATGCAGTTTTTCTCACTTTCACAGATTGAGGCTTATTTGACTTTATTTGAGGGGTTTTGCATGATGCACTGCATCAGCTTGCACGACGTCTTTGTGTTTTAATACACATAAACTTTTTTGCTTGCATGTCTGCATACTTTGAATTCTGCTTTCCACTGATTCGTCTGTGTAAAGGCCTATTCACATCAAGAGTGATGCAAAAATTACTTGACTCATAGAGAAACTCACAATATATAAATTTTTTTAAACATGACATAATGCTCTCCTTTTTTTTAAAAAAATACTTGTAAAAAGTCAATTCTGGACACCTTTTCATTTTCGTTTATTTTATTTATTTTTTGGAAAGTAGTAAGTAAAGTATGTCAGAAATTAATCAAAAGCATAGTTAAACAATGAAATTCTTGAAAAGAAAAATCGAGAGTAATATGAAGTCTTGTGGTGTGAACAACATGCAAAAAAAATAATAAAAAATTACTTGAAATCAAATAAGCTTGCCAAGACAATTTCTCATTTTAATTTTAGAAAACATGATGTGCTAAAATAAAGCAATAAGCCCCAAGAAGCCGTGGTTTACAGTGAATTTATAACAGCTAAGGGGCGTTGTTAGTTACGTGAAGCAGAGTGCCTAAAACCCCCTTAGCTGTTATAAATTCACTGTAAACCATGGCTTTACGGGGCTTATTGCTTTTATAAAACAGTTATTCCATATACGTAGTTAGGTTTCACAGAATAAAACAGAGCAAATAAAGTGTAATGATATTAATAAAAACAGTATTCTTCCACCAAACAATGTAGTTCCTCTGAAACAGTTGTGGTTTCAACAAAGTGGTTGTCGAGCAACACACAGAAGTAAAGAAAGGTGTGTGTTTATAGAGTAATTTACAACAGCTTCGAACGCGGCTCAGCCAATCAGAATCAAGCACCGGAACTATCCGTTTTATAATAGCTGAAACTGAAATTAAAATTAATAAAAAAAAATATATATTTATGTGTGTATTTTAATTTGTTTATTAGTAAGTTATATATTTATTAATAATAAACACAGATAATATAAAATAAATAATAATAAATAGAAATATTATTGTTTTATGATATTATTTTAAAACCTGACAGAAAATCTTACTAGAAACTATAATAGTACCTCAGTGAGACTAAAATAACACTAATGGTTAGAAAAAGTTTACGTATTTTTTTAAATACGTAATTTTTATAAATCAGTGTGTATACTCGCATATTTACTTTTGACTGATGGTTACACCACTTGACATTTTTACATTTTCATTTAAAATAGTATAAAAAGCTTTGTCAAAAAACTTGAAACCAACATAAATACTAAAATGGCATTTCTAATAATTTGGCATTTGTTTTAAACTAGATTTTTTAAATATCTTAAAATATCCTCATTTTACGATGCGAAGTCTTGACTCGTTAAAACATGCGCTTGCAGTGACTAGGCCTGGAACGGGTGAGTGTTTGGCGCGTGCCGCTCTGCTTGGCTTGCTGAGGGTGTCGCTGTGTGTCCCGCAGGCGCTTCTCTTCCTCCTGGCACACACACTATTCCTCTCAGTCAGCTGCAGACACACACTCTGGCCATACAGTGTCCACAGACGCAAAACACACAAGCCAGCACACAGGCCACGCTCTTCCGCCTGCCGGCTGCCGTCTCGCTCACAGGTCAGTTCTTTTTCACACTCTCTGCGCTCCAGGACCTGCACGCTTCAGCCGTCTCAAATGTGCTTGTCATAGCAATGGCATTTCAAGGCATTTTGTGTTACTTTTTGTGTTAAAATTTGAAATTATTGTAATTATTTGAAAATCGAATTATTTCAACTGTGTGAATTTTACTCTAATATTACATCAATAACGGTTCATATATTATGTAATTATTTATTAAATGAACAATATTTGTTAGTAAAATGAATAATAAAGCAATAAGCCCAGTGAAGCCATGGTTTACAGTGAATTTATAACAGCTAAGGGGCATTGTTAGCTGTTATAAATTCACTGTAAACCACGGCTTCATGGGGCTTATTGCTTTTATAAAACGGTTATTCCATATGCGTAGTAAGGTTTCACAGAATAAAACAGAGCAAATAAAGTGTAATGATATTAATAAAAACAGTATTCTTCCACCAAACAATGTAGTTCCTCTGAAACAGTTGTGGTTCCAACACACAGAAGTAAACAAAGGTGTGTGTTTGTAGAGTAATTTACAACAGCTTCGAACGCGGCTCAGCCAATCAGAATCAAGGACCGGAACTCTCCGTTTTATAAACATAATTTGCACACAGCTGTTTAGGGTTGTGCACAAGTGCGTATAGAAGAAAATTGTTGCAATTTCTTTATTTCATATGGTCATGTTTTTAAGCCCCCTTTATTATTAAAAATAATTCTGTTTAGCTTTATTTTCATTTTTAGTCATTTTAGTATTTCAAATTGGATTCATATTTTTAACTATTTAAGTTAGTTAGGGCAACATTTATAATTTGTTTAGGTTTTCATCTAATATTTTAAGAACTTATTACCTTTATTTATTACATTTATTTCAGTTTTAATAATTTTTGTACTTATTTCAGCTAGGGCTGTGCAAAAAATCGAATGTGATTTTCATGCGCATCTCGTCAGTAAAGCCGGTTCTGTGATTAGTAGTAAATCTCCATCACGTGCGTTCAGATGGAGCGGCATTTACTACACAGAGCCGTAGTTCACTGACAAGCTATGCAATATCGCATTCATTATCGGCAATGAATCGCCTGCAATTTTGAACTCGATTTTGTGTAGCTTGTCAGAGATCTTCGGCTCTGTGTAGTAAATGCCGCTCCATCTGAACGCACGTGATGGAGATTTACTACTAATCACAGAACCGGCTTTACTGACAAGATGCGCATGAAAATCGCATTCGATTATTTGCACAGCCCTAATTTCAGCTAGTTACCAAGCCAACCTTTCTATTTGTTTGGTTTTTGTTTCTAAGTTTGATTTTCATCAAATATTTTAAGTACACGGCACAAAATGATTTTCTTAGTATTTTTGTCGTTTTCTAGTATAAATATCAAAAAATTCTTGAATCAAGATGCATTTATTTTACAAGTGAAATGATCGTCAATTTTATTAGTTTTTGCTTAAAACAAGCAAAACTATCTGCAAATGGGGGAAGAAAAATAATCTTGTTTAGCCTTTGAATTAAGATTTTTTTCTTACCCCATTGACAGACATTTTTGCTCGTTTTAAGCAAAAAACTTAACAAAATTGTAGTGTTGTTTTTTTTAGAGAACAAGACTTGATATCTTAAGTCATTTCACTTGTCAAGTAAATGTATCTCGATTCAAGAATGTTTGGATATTTATACTAGAAAACAAGACAAGAATACTAAGTAAGAAAATCATTTTTTGCAGTGCATTTATTAATTAGCTTTAATTTTTATATATTCAGTTTTAATTTTAGTTTAAGTTTGTTATTGTCTTGTCGTTTTTTATTTATTTATTTTTTTTTAAGTTTTCTTTTTTGCTTTATTTTTTTTAATTTAAGTTTTGGTTATTTAAGTATTAATATATATATAACTTATTCGTATTTATTTAAGTTAGTTTGCAAGGCAACGTTTCAAAAAAAATTTTCTTCGTTTATATTTGCCACCTAATATTTATTTTCATTTAAGATTTATTTCAATTAATGAAAATAATTTTTAATAGTTTTATTTTTTACCACGTTCCATTCATTCGTGCATGTAGTTATGGCCAGTATGAAGTGCAGTGAGGATGTGTCTGTGGTTTGTGTGTCAGGTGGTGCGATGCCTCAACATTTACAGGCCTTCCGGGTTCACCCCAGTCCTCAAAGCAGTGACAGCAGTCCAGAGATCAGCCAGACCTCCACCAGCTCCACTGGTACTTACAGCATCACCCTTTCTTGCCCTCAGATACTGTTCTGATCAGTGACTTTAGTAAGACGTCTCCTCTGTCTCTCCCACAGCAAGCCACACCGCTACGATAGTCACTTCCTCAGTGCCTTCTTCAATGGCAGGTCACATGATGTACCCCGGAGCGCACGTCATGTACGCTACATCCACCCCTACCCTTGCCGACGGGGGTCTAACTGTGCTCAATACCTTCCCACAAACACCCGCCGCGATGCACATGTCCCACACACAAGCCCAAGACTCAGGTCCGTCAGACGTCACCGTGTGTGTTAATGTCTCGCTTTAAGATGCACGGGTAGTCTTTAAACAACATTGAAAAGTCAGGAACTTATGCTAATTCTGACAATTACGAACTGTACTTCCATTGTTACGAGGCTCTTTGTTTTGTTTTGCTCGTGTTTAGGTGCAGTTCCTCAGATGTTTTTCACGGGACCTCCTGGAACCGTACAGATCCCAGTTTCAGCCGTTCCACTACATTCGGTAATATAGCTAACAATACAATAAATGTCACGAAAAGCTATGTACTTTGCCTCACACGGGTTCTGCTGAGAATGTTTTGCATTGTTGTATCCAAAAGTTTAATGGGTTTTGTTTGTAGGAGTAGCTTCTGAAACAGGCCTATTAATGTTCTAGTTAGTAGAAAAAAATATTTTTTTCTTGAATCACATATTTTCTCATAATATTGTTTTTGTTTTTTTGCTTATATTTTTTCAAAACTTTACAATATTAAGCTTTTTCTTAAAAAAATTCCGCCTTTATTCTCAGAATAGTCAAATTTTATTTTTAAAGTGCCCCCATTATGGATTTTTGAAAATGACCTTTCATGCAGTGTGTAACAGCTCTAAGTGAATGAAAGCATCCTGCAAAGTTTTAAATCTGAAAGTGCACTGTGTATAAAGTCATTGTCTCTCAAAAGAAAGAGTCGACTTTGAAACATTTAAACGTGTTGTTTTTAAAACAAATCCCAAGCCGTTTCAACTTGATGTCAACATGAAACATTAGCATATTGCCCGTCCACTTGTTGGAGTTTTCGCGTTGGTCTGAATGAAAATGTAAATTAATTCTTTGCCACTATGTGCCGCTTTTGGAGCGTAAAAATAGCTGTTTCCCCGGTAACGCTGTACACAAAGCAGCACTGCGCTCACAAACGCAGCTTTTATTATGAAATGGAAATTAAATCAACCAATCACTGCAGATTAGCGTCACACAAAGGAGGGGTTTGGAAAAATGAATCGTTGAGCGAATCGTTTGGGAGTTGTTGAGCATATAAGGTAAAGATAAATGCATATTATAAGACAATGAAAGTGTTTTTTGACCTTGCATGCATGTCAACCTGTTGTTGGGGACTCCCAAAACCAAAATATGAACCTTTCAGAACCCATAATAGGGGCACTTTAAAACTTTTTAATTTTTCATATTGTTACGACTTTATTCTCGTAAAACAAAACATTACGACTGTATTTAACTTTTATTCTGGCAATGTTTTGACAAATAACATTGTGATAATATTTTAAAACAAATTTTGTTCTCATAACATTGTGATTTTATTTTCAAACTGTACAACTTTATTTTTAAACTACTGTGACTGTTGTTGTAATGTTATATTTATTCTCATAACAGCGGCTTTGTTCTTGTAATGCTACATTTTTATTCTCATAACATTAGGCCTTTACTTTCATTTGTGATTTTATTCTTATTACATTATGCCTTTGTTCTTTTTGGGGAAAAAAATGCGGTTTTATTTTACAAACTGCTGTTATTCTCAAAACATTTCAGCTTTATAGTTTTGCAATATTTTGACATTTTTGTAACATTACTCTGACAGTTTCAAATCAATTTTGTTCTCTTTACATTACGACTTCATTCTCAAAGAGTATGACTTAAAACAGTTTCTTTCTATTTGTAATGTTATGTCTTTAGTCTCATAACAACACCTTTATTCTTGTAATGTTATATCTGTATTTAAAAGTTTCTGCTTTATTCATGTAACATTGCTTTTAATCTTGTAACATTATGCTGTCACTTTCATAACGTTATGATTTTATTCTTATAACATTATGCCTTTGTTCTTGTAATGTTATAAGCCTGTTCTTAAAAAATCGCAGATTTAGTCTTGTAATGTTAACATGATTCTTGTAACATTATTCTGATATTTTCAAAACAATTTTGTTCTCAACATTACGATTGTGACTTTATTCTTGTAAGGTCATGTTTTTATTCTAAAAACAACGACTTTATTCTTGTAATGTTACATCCTTATTCTTTAAATGTTACTGCTTTCTTGTAACACAATGCCTTTAATCTTGTAACATTAGGCTATTACTATAACGTTACGTTTTTGTTTCTTGTAATGTAACAAGATTGTTCTCAAAACATTACGCCTTTATTCTAGTAACACTATGCCATTATTTCCAAAACATTACACCTTTATTCTTCTAATGTTTTGACATTATTCACTACATAACGTTTGTATTCACAACAATTTTGTTCTCGACTTTTCTCAAAACATTCTAACTGTTCTTATAATGTTGTGACCACTATTTTAATGTGCCATTAAAACACCATTGCGGATAATAGTATGACTGACAGTTAACAAAGTGCTGTTGATTCACTTTTAACTGCACATATGCTTATGAAGACGGATAAGAGTGCGCAGTAACTCGGCTCCTCTAACAGTTTTGTTTCTGTTTTTTCAGATGTTGATAAACCAGCAGCCCACCGGTAGCAGCAGCGCCACCCTCACGGAGCTGCAGGTGGTGAATCTGGACAATCCCAAAGGAGACTGACCCGTAACGCAGGAGGCCGGTGTGACCGTTCAGTCGCACTGATATTCCAGGGATCACTCATGCCATGCAGTCAGACTGCCATTGTATTTATTACTGCCTTCTCGCTGTGTGGGACATACGTCAATAATGAGGTGTAATGGGACGTTTGAAGGATGATCACGTCTCCTCACGGACTCGTTTTGGTGGGTAGTGTGATAATGGATGATTTTTGTTCACGCGCATCTATACTTCAGGATTTCATAGAGACGTGTCTGCACTATCGCTTCTGGGTCTTCACCTGTTTTTGCCGAGAGATGTATGATTGTTCACTTTCAGTAAATTCAAAACCTCTTCGCTGTACAACAGGTTCTTAGGTGAATTTCATGAATGCTTCCAAGAACTTGTCCAGGTCATATTTCACTCCCATCCAAAAGGAAAAAATTATTTTGCGTGAAATATTAAAGGAATAGTTCACCAAAAATGTCAAATTTGCTTAAAATGTGCTCACCCTCAGGTCATCTGAGATGTAGATGAGCTTTTTTCTAAATCAGATTTGGAGAAATGTAGCATTGCATCACTTGCTCACCAATGCTCTGCAGTGAATGGGTGCCGTCAGAATGAGAGTCCAAACATCTGATAAAAACATCACAATAATCCGCACAACTCCAGTCCATCAGTTAATGTCTTGTGAAGTGAAAAGCTGTGTGTTTGTAAGAAACAAAACATCAAGACGTTTTAAACCTTTGCTTGGGGAAAAATATTTTTCCCATTCTGACGGCACCCATTCACTGCAGAGCATCCACTGGTGAGCAAGTGATGCAGTGCTACATTTCTCCAAATCTGATTTTGGGTGAACTAATCTTTTTTTTTGTTTGTTTGTTTTTTGTCTTAAGACATTTTAACCACATTTTTGCTCTATTCTGATTTAGAAATTTTTTTATAAAATTAAAAATTGTAAGGTGGTTAGATATTGTTAGTATTGTTAAATAGCTTTTTAATTAATGAAAAATCTATTTTTAACTGTATTACAATAATAACAATCACATTTGAAAATATTTATATTAGGGATACACTTAATTGTCATGAAAATATTTTCACAATGCAAAAAAAAAAAGTTAGTGGTTTTTGCTTTGTGAAGTATTCTCATTTTTATTTTTTGAGTGAAATATGACCTGTGTGTTTGACTGTCTTTATATCGGCTGTTATAGTATGAAATTGTGTAAACACTAGAAGAAAGTGTTGAATGTACCATACTGTATATGGCCCTTATTGTACATAATCTGATTTCTGACTTTAACATACTGTAAGTAGCTCATATGGCTGCGTTTGAAATTAAAATGTTTCTGCACCCTGGATATAGATTTAATGTGAAGCACAGACGTCTGTTAGTGCTGTTTTTTTCTTTTCTTTCCTTTAGCACAGTGTAACCAGTCGTGGATGAAACGTTTGCTTTGTTCATTATCCTCTACATGCCATTTTCTGAAGAATTAGGTTTGTTTTTGTATTACATGCTGGGTAACTTTTAATTTGATTAAAATTTAAGTTGATATTACGAACACTGAAAGCGAAATCCTGTTTTAACCACTAATACAGACTTGTTGTAAAATAAATGCTGTAATTATGTATAGAGCTTTCTTTTGTAATAAAAATGTTTGTAAGAAACAAATCCATCAAGACATTTTTAACTTAAAACGGTTGCTTCTGGCTAAAAAGTCAATAATCCGTAAAAACACTTCCTCATTATGAACCGTTTTTGCTATTACTAAATACAGGTGCATCTCAATAAATTAGAATGTCGTGGAAAAGTTCATTTAGGAGCCCCTACCAAGTATTGAGTACATGTACTGTAAATGAACATACTTTCCAGAAGGCCAACAATTCACTAAAAATGTTTTTTTTTATTGGTCTTAAGTATTCTAATTTGTTGAGATAGTGAATTGGTGGATTTTTGTTAAATGTGAGCCAAAATCATCAATTAAAGAACCAAAGACTTAAACTACTTAACTTCAGTCTGTGTGCACTGAATTTATTTAATACACAAGTTTCACAATTTGAGTTGAATTACTGAAATAAATGAACTTTTCCTCGACATTCTAATTTCTTAACTTTTACCACGTAAAGTATATCAAATCTGATCTGCCAAACAAATGTTACAAAAGTTAGAAATAAAATCACAGCTTGATATCAGTACGCATCTATTCCCGTCACAGACCACGTGACATTCAGAAACATACAGAAACTCTCCAAACATAAAAAAAAAAATCATACACAAACATACAAAAGCACAAAACTTAATGTTTATTCAAGTCAGAAGTGCAGAAGTGACCCGGGGGCTGTTTCATAAAACAAGTTTACCAAATAAGCCAGGCTTATTTCAGTTAGTCTGACTTATTTTCACTTGATTTGGTTTCAGAAAGCAAAATTACCATAGCTCAAGCTCAGTCACTGTGGCAACGTATGCTGGGAAACTAACCTGGTCGGGAGCAGGCTAACTGTCAGGCTAAGCTGAACTCCTCTAACACTGACCAATACAGAATGATTCCCACTTTGTAGAGACGATATACTTGGTATAGTAAGATGATACAGGTTTTGGTTTGCATTATCCACTAAAAAAAACCAGTAGAGCTGCAGTGATGAGGCTTGTACTGTAACGTCACTGATAGACGCTTGGGCTCGTATTTGGTATTATACATGATGTTTTGTCCTAGATGGGGTCCTTCAGAAGAAGAACGGGTGATCTGTTAAGCCCAGTGTAGACTGTATCACTGATTATAATGCGTTGCGCCGCTCGTGTCAGCCGTAGAGTGGCTGTTATCGCTCAGGATCTGTGAATGATCATAATTTGTATACAGTCTTGAGTTTATCCTGATACACTGGTCTCAATGGAAATATAAAGAAGTAGGGGTGTGCGATATGGACAAAAAATGATATCTCAATATTTTCTGGGATTTTATCGATAACGATAATTAGATGATATTTTGCTATTTGTGTGTTATTGTGCTGATATCTTAAGGACTGCCGTGGACAGCTGACTCCTAAAGTTTTGATCTTCTTCATATTCTGTGTGGTGATCAGTTCAAAGCAGTGATAGAAATGAATCTTTTCTATAAGTTTAAATTGATTTTTACCTTTATTGTCATTTGTACCTTTTATAAAGCCATTTTTTTCGCTAAAAGTGTGCATTATCTTTTTAATCAGTAAGTTAGTATAATAAGACATTTTGGCTGTTACCAACCAATTTAAATCAGTATCAACAAAGTTCATCTTTGCAATGCAGACAAAACACATAAGCTGCATCTGAAGTGGCATGTAGATGTATTTACACACTGTTTAATGCAGGACCCAAATGTTTTAACCTGTAGTTACAAATGCATAAATTATGTTTTTTACATCAAGATTTCAAAAGCTTGTGGCTAGAAAGGGCTTAAAGATAGAGATCTACTGTAAATTAGAAAAATGTTGGGCATGACGGAAATTTATGTGGGGTTTAAATATATTCGTCTAATTTGCATATTATGACATCATCATAGGCGGCCATCTTGAATTTCATAATATTCAGGAAATAGTAGATATTGAATTGATGTTTGAACTTATTTGCATGTTTTTAAAAAAAAAAATTTTTATCCTCATTCCAAATGATCAGAAAAGAGGAAACCAACAATAAAACAGGAGAAAGTGCTAAATTATTACTATATTACTATACTATATAGTAGTAAAATGCATGTGAACAGTAGCCTACTTCTTGATCAGTAATATTCAGGAAATAATAGATATTGAATGGATGTTTGAACTTATTTGCATGTTTTGTTTTTTTAAACAGGAGAAAGTACTAAATTACCAACAGGCTCATCAAAGCGTTTGATCCAGTCCTGATACACTTCTTCATTTCTCAAATAAACCCAGCCACCATTGTCATCGCTAGTTCCAGCCCTGTTTAGATCCAGATCACCCCTGCTGCCTCTACCATGTCTACTGGCTCTCCCACGCACAGCACGGCCACGTGTACTGCGGCCACTCCCACCTCTTTGGGACAGCTAGTGCTACTTCCAGCCCTATTTCTCCTACCCCTGCTGCCTCTACCTCTAGCAACAGCTCTCCTATGGACACTACGACCCCGTTCTCCCCAGCCACCCCCATCCCCGTTGGGCAAAGGGTCGAAATGATCACTTGTTTGTGCTTCGTGAACACTCTCGCCTTGCACGGCGGCACCATTGTGCTGCAAAGATGTACCGGGAGAAGCACGATTATTAGACGACCGATCGTCATTTCCAAAAGGCAAATATTCCCCTTCAGAGTCAGAATCGGCGAATAACATTTGCAACACATCCTCACGGTACAACTTTCTATTAGCCATTTGG